AAACAAACAAAAAGAATGAAATAAACATACTACATTTTCAATTTACGTGAAATGTTTTCTTAAATAGTGATTAAATTGCTAGGTCATAAATATTTATTGTTTGGTACTAATTATATAATAAATACATTCTTGGGTATTTCTTTTTCTTTTTTTTCTTTTTCTTTTCTTTTTTTCTTTTTGAGACAGAGTCTTCCCTGCCCAGGCTGGAGTGCAGCGGCGCCATCTTGGCTCACTGCAATGTCTGCCTCCCAGGTTCAGGTGATTCTCCTGCTTCAGCCTCCTGAGTAGCTGGGACTACATACACATGCCACCACGCCTGGCTGACTTTTGTAATTTTAGTAGGGATGGGGTTTCTCCATGTTGGTCAGGCTGGGGTCAATTTCCTGACCTCCTAGTCCTTCCACCCGGCCTCCCAAAGTGCTGGGATTACAGGTGTGAGTCACTTCACCCAGGCTTTCATTTGTTTTAGAGTTGTCTTAAAAATGTTACACACCTTCTGGATCTTCCTGGACCTCTCAAGGCCTCTGCCTCCTGCGGGAATGCTCACCTCCTTGAAGGCGGGACTCACATGTCACCTTCTCGATAGACCTTCATGTTTCAGCTACTGAGGACTTCGGGGCTCCCCTCCTGTTCTTCCTCCCCACAACCTTGTTCCCTGTGCCCTGAATCATCTGTCATCTTTCTACGTCCCAGGCAATGCACCTGCTGGTTGTGTTCACCTGCTGTCCACACTGGAGCAGGGATTCTGTCTGTTTTCCTCAGAGGAGCATGCGCAGCACAGCCCATTGTGGGTGGTGAGACTGTAGGAACCCTGCGAGTGAATAAATGAGAGACAGTGATTGGGGCGGGGCCTCTTTCTTGTCAAACCACTCACTATGGTTTAGATGGTAACTTAGGACGTGGTGAGAGCAGTATTTTCTGGGCACAATAAATCCGAATATATTGTGAAGACAAGTAGAAAGAAATGTTAGGTGGAAGTATGTAAATTTTCAAGGAGTTAGGAAGAGTGAGAAAAAAGCCAATCAGGAAAGGGGCAAGGTTGGCTTGGGTGTGGCTAAGCTGGTGGAGAAACGCAGCCGTCTGCGATAGAGGGCCTGAGCTGTGAGGTTCCTCTGCAATTCCGAGACCACCCCCACCACCTGCCCGGCCCCCTCCTCTCCCCCAAGGCTGAATGCAGCTCTTGCGCCTTCAGTGCCAAGGAAGCCACAGTCCCAGGACTGAGGAAGGGCTGAGGTGGACAGTGGAAAAGGAGGGGTTGGTGCAGAAGGGGAAGGCGGACAGCAAGGATTCCCTGAGGATACACAAAACATATCACCTGAAAATGGGAAAACAGTAAGGCTTTAAAGAACAAGATGGAATTCATGTGCAATTTCTTATGCAATGTTTCATTTTAGGGTATGGCACTTACATGTATAACTTTTATACAATTATTATCATATAACTTACGGTTATTTTAAATGATTGGAGTTTATTTTTTTGAGCTGGGTTAGAGTTCATAGTGCAGAGTCCTTTAATTTGGTCAGTTAACCCCATTTTTTGGCCTTATATCATTTTATTGTATTTATTTATCTTTAATTTCAGCCTATATTATAGATTAAAGGGTACACATACAGGGCTGTTACACACATAGACTTTGGGAGGCTGAGGCTTGGTGTCCCAATGATCCCATCACCCAAGCTGTAAGCAGGGTCCCCAACAGGTGGTTTTCAGCCAGATGTCCCTCCTCTCTCCCCCATCTAGTGATCTCCAGCATCTGGTTCATGTGAATTCAATGTTTAGCTGCCACTTTCAAACGGGAACATGCAGTATGTGACTTTCTGTCCTTGCATTAGGTTGCTTAGGATAACAGCCTCTCTTCCATCCGTGTTGCTGAAGAGGACATGATTTTGCTGTTTCATGGTTGCATAGATTTTCATGGCATCTGTGTACCACAGTGTTTTCATTCAGTTCACTGTTGTGGGGCACTGAGATTGACTCTGCGTCCTCGCTAGTGAGAACAGCACTGCATTGAACATATGGGTGCAGGTGTCTTTTTGACAAAATAAATTCTTTTCCTTTGGGTATATCCCCACTAGCAGAATTGCTGGGTGGAATGGCAGTTCTACTTTATGTTCTTGCAGAAATCTCTGAGCTGCTTCCCACAGCGGCTGAACAGGTCCGCTTTCCCACCAACAGCGTCTGTTTCCTTTCTCTGCAGCCTCACCACCATCTCTGACTTTGTGACAGGTAAGAGGTGGTAACTCACTGCGGTTTTGATTGGCACCTATCTGATGATTTGGCCACTTGCATGTCTTCTACTGAAAAATGTTCATCTCTTTACCCATTTGTTCATTGGATTTTTTGTTCTTGCTTGTTGAATTCTGGATACTGAACGATATTCTGTAGATATTAGCTTCTGGATATTAGACCTTTGTCAGGTGAGGTTACAGTGAGTGATGATTATGCCGCTTCCCTCCAATATGTTTTACAGAATGAGAAAATGTAAAACACCCTAAAAATACAAAGGATTAATAGAATTCTTGGTGAGTGTATGGAAAGGATTCCTGAGGTGTAAATCCCAGCATGTGATTTTACTAGCAATACCGTTTGGAATAATGAGGTCATGCTTCAGAGAAGTGTCTGCTTTCCCACAATCAACAAAGTAGAATGAAAATGCTTTTTGCTGGGATTTCTTGTCCAGTTATAACTTGTGCAGAAATTCCATCCATTAGCACCGAGAGGAAGTGGCAGAGGATGTGAAGAAAAACGGCTGCCAGGACCATCACTGAAGGTAATGAGCGGCATGAGAGGTTGGGTCTCCAATGCCCTCATCATCTGCTGCAGGCTGTGGCCTTGCCAAGGCTTGAACTCCTGGCTGTCCAGCAAGGCACAGTGGTGAGTAGACAGGCGGCCTTCCTGAAGGAGAGTGGGAGGCAGACCGGGCCAACAGGGGCTGCTGGGTGTCATCTTCCACCTTCAGAAAGATGAAGCGTTGGTTTAAGTGGCTGAGAAAAACCTGGGTCTGTTCTCCTGGGTGACCCCTCCCAGGCCCTCCCCATTTCGGAGCCCCTCCCCCAGATAAGGACCATGTTTTCCCTCCAACCCTCTCCCTGGCTCTGCAGCCTCGAAACCTCCTTCCTCCCACACCACATCACAGAGCCAGCCCAGGCCCTGCTACAGCCCACGGGGCTCAGAACTGAGGCTGGGAAAGAGGGGTCTGCACCCTCACTCAGGGCCTGCTCGTCCTTCTCACAGAAGGGTCTAGAGGATCTGGGGGGGCCTGTCCAAAGAGCAGTCTCTGGATCCACATTCCCTGGCCTTGGGTGGGCTTGCAGGTAAACCTGCTCTTTCCCCTTCCCTCTCAGCCTCTCCTCACCCTGGGAGCTGCACCCACAGCTCTGAATGGAACCGTCCCCACCCGCCCCATTCATTCCTGGCTAAGCTCAGTGCTGACCATGGAACTCCAGCAGCCGCTCAGCTCCCTGTCTGCGTCCATCTGCTCCAGGCAGGACTTCAGCTGGCTCAGGGTCTGGAGTGTGCAGGAGGCAGGAGGGCAGGGGCACTGCCACAGAGCCCTGCTGGCAATCCCATGGATTCTAGTGGCTCGGCCTTTTCCTAAACCTCATCCTGGACACACTCCACCCTTCACCTTCCCCCCTAACTGCTGGGACCCAAGCTGCTTTCTCTGGGAATGCGGCCTTTGGAATGGGGTGAATCAAGGCCTCACCGCCCCCTCGTCCTGGGATTTCCCCAGATCACTCTCTCCTCTGCCTCCTTCAGGGATGCCCTTTCCCTTGACATCCTAGGTGAAGCGGCCATGCTGCTCCTTTCCTACTGTGCGGACTGCCCGTGTCTGGGTTCCTGCTGCCTGCGGGCCACACACCACTACCCTTCCCAAGAAGGAACCTGCTCTGAAACAGGCCTGAGTTGGCTAATCAGACCCGGAGCCTTGTATGGGCCCCTTCCTTTCCCTCCAGCCTCTGAAGGTGAGAATCCGTCAGAACTCAGGGCTGAGCTGCCCAGGTCAGTGCCAACAAGTGACATGAGGTCTCATTCACCTGTCTCATGTCAGGACGGAAAGGTCCCGGCCATGGGGAGGCGGGGACTCTGGAAATTCTCCTTTCCCATGCTCTCACGTCACCCATCTGCTTCTTGCTCTCCTCCCAATTCTGCCCACAGTACCTGTCACTCTAAATGACTCACCTCAGATGATATATAGATGACATATAAGACGAAAGAGAGAAGGATGAGGAGGCCCCAGGGACTGAGGGTGGTGGCCACGGATATGGGTTGGGTCGTGCCTGAGGACACGGTGGGCGGTGCTGAAATGGAAACACCAGCATCACAGCCCTTGCCCAGGCCCCGCATCTGAAGACACACCTCCTCCGCTCCTGCCACCCCAGGTCATCCTACAAGGCGAAGGTTTTGTTCCCCCTGCTATGGGGCAGCTCCAGAGACAGGTCCTGGGGTAGGAAGGGAGAGGGGGTGTCCCCTGTCCTCAGGGAGCTCACACAGCTGCTCAGGGAAGCAAGGTGACAGCACAGCCCACCCTCCTGTTTTGGCAGAAGAAGAGGTGATGCCCCAGGGCGGGAGAGGGGAGGGTCTCCGGGCTGGCATTGAAGATGGTTTTGATGGATTTCCAGAAACAGACCAAGGGGAAAGGAGAGGAAAAGTAATTTTGGGAGGGAAATCTAAGGAGAAAGGTCTAGAACCACAATAACACCCATTGTTTTGAGGCTGGCGGGAAATCCACAGTGAGGGGAGCAGAAGCAGGTGCAGTGAGGAAGAGGAGTCAGGAGGGAGAAGGGAGAGGAGGATGGGAGAGCACAGGCGCCCCCAAAAGGGGTCCCCCATGAGGGGTCATGTTCTTACTCAAACGCACACACTCACAATCACACACACACTCCCACAAACACTGACACCCGCTCACACCCATACACCCGCACCCACCACAGACACCGACAGACAAGGCTGTAACTCGATGGCATCTCCAGGTGCTCCCAGTGCTCCCCTGTAGTCACCTGTGGGCTCCAGCCTCTTCTCCCTGCGCATCAGGAAGTCCCGAAGCCAGCTCCCGCAGTCACCCACTGAAAGCTTCTCCAAGTGCTGAGTCAGTTCCCCGTCCTCCTCCCACTTCTCTTTCATCTGCCTGGCTCCAGCATGAACCACTGTCCACTTTCTGCTGTTTGAGTCAAAGAGGAGGAACTTCTGTCCATTAACGCTGAACTCCCAGGATCCATGGATGTGTCCATCGGCTTCACACTCACAAGACATCCTGGCCTGCAGCGTGACGGGTCCTGCCCCAATCAGAAAGAGATCAGCTCTGGTCTTTACAAATTCTCTTCCCTGCCCCACACCCTCCTCCTCTGAGCCCCTTCTCATCTGGCCCTGTTGTCTCCTCCAGGTCCTGCCCTTGCTGCTGGGTGTCACTGAGGCCCCGTGTCTAATGTCTTCTCCCCACACACGGTGCAGCCCCTGAGCCCACAGTCTGCTCCCTTCCGTCCTTGGTCTCCTCCACTCACCACTGGGGGTGAAATCCTCCAGCTCAATGCCAGGCAGTTCCAGTCTGAGCGTCTGCCCCACCTCTCTCAGCATTTCCAGTTGTCTTTCCCAGGCATCTGTGGCATTCAGCTGCTCTTCTAGGCGACCCACAGAGAAGACCTTGTCAGTGCCACAGTCATAGGAGAGGAAATGCTTCTGATCCACCTGGCCTTGGACCTCGCACCACCGTTGTCCAGATCTGGGCAGATGGATGATGCTGAAGTTGTACCAGAGAGAGTGAGCGTCTGTGGGAAAAAGAGAAAAAACACTGGAGTGTGTTGGGGTCGGAGAAAGACCCCGGACACTGTGACAGCAAGAGGGTTTCCTGCAGGGCGGGGCTGCCAGAGCATGGGCTTCTCTTCCTGGGCAGTGGCCTCTGTCTGTGGAGGAACCATGGGTCACCAATGTGTCCATCTCCCCACTCTGCCCAGGCCTATACATACATCGGTCAGCACAGGACCTTGCCCAGGAGGTGCCAGGCCTGCTACAGGAGGAAGGGCCTAGATGGCAGGATCTTCAGCAACAGCCCAGGTGGACTGTGGGAGGTGGAGAGTGGGGAGGGCACCCTGAGGATGCTGGAGCATGGCACAGTGGGTACGATGTAGTCAACATTGGAGAAGCGTGAGTTTATTTATTATGGGTAACAAGACACAGTGCGTTCCCCGGAATGTGCCTCTCATCTGCTAGTAGGTTGCCCTTGGGACCTTGGAAAACGGAATGACTCACACCACATGAAACAGAAACCCAGCTGTTATGTGGGGGGTTGTAGAGGAAGGAACAAAAGGCCGAAAGAAGTGCCCGTGCCAGAGTGGCTGCAGCAGGAAAATCCAGAATAGTGTCCATCCTCTGTGCCCACGGGAAGCCTGGAGGACTCCTGTCTACCCAGCATATAAAGAAGGCCCCGGGAGAAGGCAGCAGACTGTCATGAAGCTCAGGGGTGCCTGCTGCTGACGGCCGGAGTTGGGGGTAGGAGATGCTTTTCCTGAAATGGGCTCCCAGCAGTAATGGGGATGGAAAATCCTGAAATACCAGATCTGAAGAGGCTGTCAACTGTCAGGAGGAAGGAGGGTGCCATGATGGAAATGATTAGGGAAGTCACAATGCCAGCTGGGGACCTCAGCCATACAAAGCTCTGCCCATGGCTCATAGAACAAAGGGGTCCAAGATCCAAAAGAGATGGAGACTCCACGCGGCTGCTGCGAGACTTAAATAATTACAACAAACAAAGACAAAATGCAAGGATGGATGACCTGGAAGCTGAAAGTAGACACCCCAGGAAATAACCGGGCTCCTTTGCTCAACTGTGACAACTGAGCCACATCTCACACCGAGAGTCCATGACTAGGAGAAGAGCCCAGAGCCCCTGGTGGGCCCCTTCAACCCACAGCAACTGCAGTGACTGCTTCAGCCTCCCCACGGAGCCAGACGGGCATTCACTCTGCTGACTGTACACCAAGAAACAGCAAATACCCAGACACGCCTAGTGGATACAGTGTGCGACCCGACCTCCTCCCAGGGATCTGAAGCATTCACTTGCTCCCCTGTTACTCATGAGGTTATTTGGGGCAAAGTAACGGATGGACACCTGTGTCAGGTCCAGTTAGAGGGATGTGCTGCACTCATAGACCCATTCGATGGCAATTTCACATTTCCTGGATTTGTACCAGGAATGGATAGAGTTTGTAGTTAATTTAGTAACTATTACAGGTTGTGCTGGTCATATGACCTCCCCGTCACTACTCAACCCTGCCCTTGTAGCTGGGGTGCAGCCATACACAGTCCGTGAATGAGGAGTGCAGCTGGCCCTGCCGCTATGGCTATTTGACCCTGGACTCCCTAAGATCCCAAAGGCATGTGTGGTTGGAAAAAGTGTTATGTGGATTTCATGGCAATTTCCAACCACAGCATTACAACAGGGTCCCCCAGTGCTCAGAATCAAGGCTGTGCCACTCACAGCTGCAAAATCTCCTCATTGAAAAGTGGCTCCAGGTGTGTTTCTGGGCCCTGGTGGAGATGGGCCTCCCTATAGGAGGGCAGTGACCACGCAGCCTCAGAGCTGCCATCACAGGGTGTGCTCCTCACGCTCTAGGTCATTAGGAAGGTAGGCCTGGCTGTGAGAAGATGCAGGTGGTTCTCCTGGGACGGGCAGGAGCGGGGCCACAGGGAACTGAGAAGCTGCACAAGCAGTTGGCCCCAATCTCCGGACACCACATGGCTGTACCCCCTCATCCCCAGCTCACACCCGAGGCTTTAGGGAGAGTTGCTGATGCCCTGGTGGATCATTGATGCCACTCAGCAGCAAAGGAGGGGAGAGTAGGCCCCGAACCAAGGGACCCCCACTCACATCCATCACATCCACACACCGAGAAGCCCAGGCAAGGTAGGACACACTTGTGACTCTTCAACTGACACCACTTGGAGATGACACCCTAGGGGATGCGGCACCGATTGCCAGGACACGGCAGGTGCCCTCATCTGGGGTCAGCAACCTAGGATGGTGCCCACATCCGGTCTCCCTTTTATTTCCAGGTTGCTTTGCCTGCTGTTGCTCTACAAAGGGACAGGACTTGACACAGAGACAGAGAACACATGGCCGGCAAGGACCACAGTGCCTGCAGCCTTTTCTTTCCAGAAAGGATTTCCTGACTCCTGTCTGCACAGTGACTACTCTCTATGACCCGGCTCCCCAGTAGGATGAACAGGTGCGTCTGGGCCCTAAGGGCAGAAGTTAGACCTCCACTCACCAGCGTTCCCAGTGTCATCCTGGGGGAATGGTGCTTCCCATCCCCGCTGCACTAGGTTCTGTGGAAAGCGTGGGGTGTGTTTGCTGGGGTGTCCTCAGGCAAGGGGGGAGAAGGTGCCAGTTGGTCGAGAGGTGCTAAGGGCCCCTTCATGGATGGGGAGATGAGGGAGACCTTTGGAATGACAGGGCTGGGCTCAGGTGGGGAGTGAGAGGATGTGACCTGGGAGATGGCAGTGGATGGTGAGGGAGGGGTGGGAAGTGTCTGCTGGGCCCCTGGGTGTAGGTGAGTGGCTGCAGGAAAGCGCCAGGGGAAGTTCCAGGGCAGGGAGCCCTGGGGTTCCTGGAGGGTTTGTGTGGTGGAGCGTGGGTTAGTGCAGAGCAGGTCTGTGGCTGGTGGGAGTGTCTGTCATCGTGTCCCTGTGGAACTCCACTTCACCCATGTCCTGACCCCAGCTCGATTTCCAGGGGCTCTCGTTCCTCCTTCCCTACAGGGAGTGGTGCTGTGGGGCTGCTCGAAAAATCCCTGCCCCACCTCGCCCTCTGCAGCCCTCTGACCCTCCACCCTCCTGAGGTTCTTCTTCGGCCTTCTTTGACAACCCTCCTGGCCTGGGGGGCAAGCGGCAGCGGCAGTCAGCGGACCCGGCGGAAAGGAGCGGCCGAAGGGAGCTGAGGGCGAGGCGCAGTCGGGGGAGATCGCTCCTGTCTCCCCTTTTCGGAAACACGCTGCAGTCCACAGCCCCCCAGGATTGGGCTCCACCCCACAACTCACCGGCGCGCCTTGCCCCGGACCAGCCGGACTGCAGGAGCAGAAGCAGAAGCTCGAGGAACAGAAGAAACGCGGGGCTGGCAGCCGCTGCCATCGCAGTCCTGGAGCGCAGCGGAGGAGAGCGACAACCAAGGCGGAGACCGGCGGATGAATCGTCCAGCCAGAAGGTGTTTATAGCGGTGCCAGGTATTTATAGGCGGAGCCGGAAGGTATTTATAGATAGGCCCACTCTGCGAAGGGGACCGCACCAGTCGGCCCTGCTCTTAACCCGAATGCGTGGCTGCAGTTTCAGCTTCTCAGAGGCGGGGCAGGATGATGTTTCTTCTCTGACCGCCTCATTAAACTTCGCGCACAGCATTTATTGTTTCGTAAGGTAATTGCTGTTGGACAGGAAGGTGAAGAAACTTGCACAGCAATGTTCAGTGGCCGCGATGTGTTCAGGTCACCACCAGCGCCAGAGACACCGGCCTCCCTCCGCGGGAGTCCTCATCCTTCTCACCCAGGTCGCAGGCGCTTCCCCGGTCCAGAGAGGACCTTCTTTGCCTCTCCACTAAAAGCATGAGGAGGTCTTTGAGTATATTCTATATCCGTTTATGATTTCTGGAAAAAACAAAAAGAAGAAAGCCCTAGTGGCATGCCCTGATCAATCATGTGATCAATTGTGTTTCCGTGGGGAGCAGAAGCCAAGGGAGGAGTCTATGCATACGTGGGGCTCACTTTGCTCCCTCGTGTGGGAAGAAGAAAAGTTCCTTTTTAAAGTTTCCTTTCTTGTTAAAGAATAAGTGTGCTAATAACTTTGTTAAGCCCTATCCTATGTAGCTGTTAGACATGCCATGCTTATAGGCGGTAGTACATTCTATGTCCTTGTACTTTAACCAAAATATCTGTGCTGGACATGCCCACAGACATGTCACAGCTCTCCATTGCTTTTTACCTGTTTAGAAAAGTTTTAAGTTGTTAGCCAATAGGGTTTTAGTTTAGATTGTGAGGTCTGGCTCCAGCCAACCGAGACCAGTCAGACACAGCAGTAAGGAGGATCGCAAATGCTAAGGGATAAATGTGTGTGTTTTCCTCTATTCATTTTACTCTCGTGGCAAGATGGCTAGTGAGAGTATCCTTCCTGCAGTCTAGGAAGTAAAAATTGCATTGCTGCAAGATCATCTGTCTAGGTGCTGATTTTTCTTTGAGGCACCAAGTATCTAGTTCCAACACACACTCTTCTGTGGCCAACCATACCTAAGCCCATGGCTGCACCCGCACCTCTGCTCAGTCCCTGGATGGTCACTGCAGCCGTCCTCAAAGGGGCAACCTGAGTGCATCCTTGTCTCGGTCACCATGGAACCATCTAGAACTGTGGACAGAAGTCAGAGGGACTTGGTGGGGGTGGCCAGTGGCTCCCGTCTGCGAGGGAGAGCTTAGCCTGGGGTGAGGACTGGGCAGAGCCCCTGAATCCCACTCTGCCCTCAGCCACTCAGCCTGTTCCCCATTGAATGAGAAAAATAGGCAGAGATCTCCCACTCTGCACAGTCTCCACGTCGGGAGGCCCTGCACCTGATGACCATGAATCTCCAGGTTCCTGAGGCTGTGGGAAAGGGAAGGAGGCCTGGACCAAGCCCAGGGCCTGTCTTTGCTTTAGGAAAGGAGCATGGGATGGCAGCCACCTCTGTGACTGAGGAGGGACACAAGAGCCTGGAAGGTGCTGGCCTGATGTACCAGAGCCTCTGTGCAGGAGGGGCCACGTGGAGGGTGGTGTGGAGGACAGCAGACCCACAGGGGTGGGCAGTTCTCAGACCTGGGAGGGGCAGAGCGTGGCGGGTCCAGGGATCTGTGTGTGAGAAGAACCTCCCATGCACAGGGCTGGGACAGGAGCCGGGTTAGTCCTGGGAGGAGGCCACTGCGAAGGCCCTGGCAACCCCACCCTTGAGGCTGAGTGACCTGGGCCAGTGACTGGGGGAGCAGGAGGAAGGCAGAAGGCTGGCAGGAGAGCCTGGAGGAGGACAGCCAGGTGACAGGAGGAGGGGCCTCTGTGCACACCTGGGCCCTCTGCCTCACCCCTGCTGCGGGCGTCTGGCCACCAGACTCAGGCCAGTCCAGGATGGGGATAGGAGTGGCCCAAAGGTGACTACTATTATAGTCACCTATAATAATATGGGTGGCACTATTATTATCTCATGTCTCTGGGCCTGTGTTAGTCAGCTAGAGATCGTGCATTCAGACGTGGAAGTCAACTGACAATGTAGGTGAATATTCTTGTGTAAGGTCCTTCAGCTTTCTGGGCATGGATGTCCGCAGGTGGAAAATGACAAATGCTATGAACACTGACGAAATGAGCAGATTCTACCATGAACCCTGTCCTTGCACATGCCGAGGACCCAGGGCAGGTCTCCCATTGCAGCTGTGAGCCCTGCCGCCCTCCCTGAAGTCAGCAAATGCCAGGCCCACCCTGAGGAGAGCTGGAGCTCAGCCCAGGCCTTGGCCTCTTACTGGCCCTGGGGGCACCGTGAGGGGGTGGAAATGAACGCGAGACTCACTTGTGAGGGCTCAGGCATGTTTTTCAGACCCAGAGAGGAGGATTTTTCTCTCTATCACCTCGTGAGCCTGACATGATTTAAAGGTGGTTGGAGGCTGAGTGAACCAATGAATGAATGGGACAGCTGTGGGAGCGAATGGGGCTCAGGACTCACACAGGTGCAGAGGGGAGCTGCAGCGGAGGCTGTAACCCGCAGAGGCCTGAAGGTGGCAGCATTGAGGTTGGAGACCCCATCGCTGGCCAAAGTTGGTACATTTTTTTTGCGTTTTAAAATTTTATAATTTTTTTGAGATGGAATCTCTCTGTCACCCAAACTGGAGTACAGTGGGATGATCTCAGCTCAGTGCAACCTCTGACTCCTGGGCTTAAGCGATTCTCCTGCCTCAACCTCCTGAGTAGTTGGCATTACAGGCTCCTGCCACTCTGCCCCGAAATTTTTTGCAATTTTAGTAGAGACAGGGTCTCACCATGTTGGTCAGGCCGGTTTTGAACTCCTGGCCTCAGGGGATCCACCTGCCATGACATCCCAATGTGCTGGAATTACAGGCATGAGCCACTGCGCCCAGTCACAACTTGGAAATCTGAATGCCAACCTGGGGTGTCCACAAACATTTTCCAAGGGGGCGTAATTGGTTTTCAACCAGTCTAAGGGTGCTTCATTAGGACAGCATCTTCTAGAAAATATATTGTGATGACAGACAGCAAACTGTTCTCTTCAGCTAACTGTTTGAGCCTAGGGTGCAACAGGGCCAGGAAAATCTTGCTTTTTAGCAAAGAAGGAACGAGTCTGAAAGCAGGAATGGAAATGGGAAAGGTGAGGAGCCAGGAGGAAAGAGAAGGAGAAAAGAAGGGCTGGGGTCTGAGAGGGAGCGGCCTGTCAATGCTGTAGACAGTCACGTTTCTAGCAGTGCTTGCTTCAGGTCTGCAGAGGGAAAAGAACAACGCTGTGTTCACGGAACATTGGCTTGTAGACAAAATGATGCTGGAATTATAATAAATTCATTTTTACTTCCTACCACTTCTCTATTTTATAGATTTCATAAAGTCAGCTCACAGCTTTAAGTTTATTATGATTATGATAGATATCTTAGTAAAATACCCCATCCCTCTCAGTTATTGGAAACGCTTATGAATTCCCAGCTTTGACAATAAATAGCACATTGTGGAACAGCATGCCGTTTAAAAACTGAACTCAGGTGAATTAATCGGACATGACATTTTTGTGACTCTAACAGAAGCTTAATGAACAATGTTGAATAGATTTAAATACTTTTGTATAATAAATCTAAACTCTGTGAATTATGGTAATACTGCCTTTGAGAAGAAATCATCAATTTTGGATTTTACATACAGGATGGCACCCTAGGAAAACATGAAAAAGTCAGGAGAATTGGACCTTTAAAAGTGGAAATGAACAATGAAAATGCACATTACCAGAGTCGCCTCCTAGGACGCCTAGACCCTGACTTGTGATGCGAGCATTTTTCTGCACAGAAACGGCAAAACTGACTGTTGACCTCTAACTGGCAGGCACCATGTGACACAGCAACAACAGAGCAAAAAAATCAGGAAAATGTTTTGCTCAAAATAAAGTTATTTCAAATTTGTTGTTTTGCAAAGCTTTTTTGCTAAGGTGCCTCCTCCTCCCAAGAAATTAACAAAGAGCCAAAGCAGCCACAGTGACGACCAGCAGGACAGCATTGCGCATGTGCAATACGGTAGCGCACTCAAACATAGTATCTCTGCAGAAGGCAACCTCAGGTAGGCAGCAGAGGCTTCCTACAGTAAAAAAGTCATGCCACAAAAAAGCTCAGGAGCCCACAGAATAAATCAAGAGTGAAACCACAGCGAGCGAGTGAGCCAATCTCACACAGTAAGTTAAGCCCTGAAGAACTGCAGATATTAGAACTACAAATAAAATAGTAATATATGTATACTTAAATCATTGAAGACATAAAAGAATAAAACACACTGCAAATATTGAGACATTGTCAAAAAAGACTAGCTATATTTCATATAGAACCAAGCATTATTCACAGCAATGAAAAATGTGTTAATTAAAATTTGAAACTCAACACACGGATGAAGCAGAGTATTGTTATAGGATGGGCTGGGCACGGTGGCTCACGCCTGTAATCTCAGCATTTTGGGAGGCCGAGGCGGGTGGATCACGTGATGTCAGGAGTTCGAGACCAACCTGGCCAACAAGGTGAAACCCCGTCTCTACTAACAATACAAAAAAATTAGCCTGGTGTGGTAGCGGGCTCCTGTAATCCCAACTCCTTGGAAGGCTGAGACAGGAGAATCTCTTGAACCCGGGAGGCAGATGTCGAGCTGAGATCGCACCACTGCACTCCAGCCTGGGTGACAGAGTGAAACTCCTTCTCAAATACATATATATATACACATATATATGTAGATATCTACATATATATATCTACATATATACATTTACATATATGTAGATAACTACATATATATATAGATAGATAGATAGATAGATAGATAGACAGATATATGATGAAGTCACTGAGCTGGATTGATCTGAAGAAATCATTTAAAAT